CAGCTCGGGCTGACTCGAACCGCTGTTGCTCAGAGCTCAAACTCTTGAGCGAGCTCTTAACCAACTGAGCCACTCAGCTGGCCCCATTGGCACATTTTAGAAGTGACTCACAATAGTGCTGATTCAGATATAATGACAGTTGTCTGGATCCTTGAAACTTAACTGTGCTGTTTCCTGGCTTCAGTCTTTTTCATTTACCTTGCAGTAACACATTTCTGAATGTTATCCAAAAAGGAGTTTGCAGGCTATAGTTGTAATTATGGCATCAATCTTTCCCTAGGACCAGAATCTCTTAAAACTACATTAGTGGCTTTATTTGTACCTCTCCCCACCTCCAGTTTTGGTTGTAGCCTAACTTCTAGTATTCACATTGGAAGGATAAACCAAAAATGAATAAAAATGATTACTTAAGGGGGAGAGGAGGGGTCAGGGTAGACGGAATAGGAGCAAAAGTTAAGACTTCTGTATGTATTTTATGTTATAGATTTGACTTTGGAACCATACATAGTTATACAACAACTGAATCAAAATGAAAGCAAATCAGTTCTTAAAAATAAGCCTTCTATAAATGTCCTATTCTATTAGGTGGCAGTTGTTTCAGAATAAAAATTAAAGGATTGTTATGTTCTTGTAGTTGTCAGCTGAGGTATATAGGATCCATTCAATACAAGGGACAGAACCCTTGGTGCTGTTCAAGGAAGGTGCCGTTCGTGGTTTAGAGGCCTTACTTGCAGAGCCCCAGCAGAAAATTGAAACTGTTATCTCTGATGAAGAAGTAATTAAGTAAGTTCCAATACTCAGTAAGTGAATTTTTACCAAAATAAAAATGCACTCTGCATGTTTTTTTATAACATTTTTTGCTTTGTTAAAAAGTATTTTGGGGGCCGGCCGAGTGGCGCGATGGTTGGGGGCTGGCTTGGGGTACCAGAGGGCCCCGATTCGGATCCCGCATGTGAGGGCCAGTGGCACTGCCCTCTACGGCTGGGATGCTGGACAACGGCTCAGCCTGGAGCTGGGCTGCCATGAGTCGCCTGCGACGGCGTAGCCTGCAGCTCCTGTGGCAGTGGGTTGACACGGGCTACCATATATAGCCAGCAGCCAGCGTGAGTGGCCAGCAGCCACAGTGAGCGGCCATCCAGAAGCCGGCGACTGATCTGCCTTGCCTGGGAAGAGAGCAATGATGGTGCCAACTTGGGCTAGTGAAGCAATGTCCTCCACAACTAGACTGAAGAACAAAAGGACAGCAACTTGTCTGTTCCCCTTCCTCCAATTCCCCAGCACTGTTCCCATCCCCAATTCCCCAATACAAATCTTAAAAAATAAATAAATTGTTGAGTTAAGAGAATGATGGAAAAGACTTGTTTTAGACAAGGTAGACAGGGAGGCCCCTCTAATGATGGTGTCCTCATCATTTCTCACCTGGGTAACTACAGTAACTACAATAGCCTTTGAATAAAGCTCCCTGCTTGTGCCACAGGTCATTTGCACTTGCTGCTGAGAATGTGCTTGTCTTAGCTAACCATATGCTTAGCTCCCTTTCCTCCTTCATGTCATTACTTAAAAGTCACCCTCTCAGAAGGTCATCAATGGTCAGCTTAACTAAAATTTCCTTTTGGGGGGTATTATGGGGATGTCCAGAAGCTATATTACATGTGATGACACAATGAATTGAATGCAGAAGCAAATGTGAGAACCCAGGTATCTTTTATTAAGCCAGACATTAAACAGATTTGCAAAAATGTACAATGCTGGGCTGGCTGAGTGGCACGTTGGTTAAGAGTTGGCTTGGGACGCCAACTCTGAGAACCAGGGCCCTGGTTTGGATCCCACATGGGCCAGTGATGCTGCACCCTCTACAGCTAAGTTGGTGAACAACAGCTCGACCTGGAGCTGAGCTGCCGTGAGTCACCAGCGATAGCATCGGCTGCAGCCCCTGCTGCAGTGGGCTGTCGTGAGCTACTGTGAGTGGCTGGCAGCCAGCGTGAATGGCCAGCAGCCGGCATGAGCTGCCAAGAGCCACCGTGAGTGGCCATCCAATGGTCAGTGAGTTACTGCCTCACCAGGGAAGAGCAATGATAATACCAACATGGGCCAGTGAAGTGACATCCTCCACAACTAGACTGAAGAACAAAAGGACAGCAACTTGTCTGTTCCCTTTC